ATATCCGAATCGTCCATAATTAAATGAAGACGAATTGTCAACGGTTATTTTGAACTTGATTTGTGATTACAACATTCCAAAGCATTCCATTTCTCTGTCTATAGTTTCTGTTTTCGTTTCTCCCTCTGAAAAGTTGTTCCACAAGATATATATGTGATCAGGATGTCATCAAAAATATAAGGGTATGCGAAACCGAACGCATTCGTTCCCTAAAGCTCCTAATTTAAGAAACTTATCTCATGAACTATGAAGATAAAGGCTTAGTATCTTCATTCCAGCCAATTCTTTCATTGTACATCTTCAACTTCCGAAGACATTTTGTTAATCAGTGTTGGACTCGGCTCCTTAATTTGTTCTACTTTGGACTTTATATAAGTAGGACATTTCAAAATAAATGTGTAGGCCGAAGGACTTATTCAGTAGAAAGGCAAACTTATTGGCAAAAAGCAAGATTACAAAACTCAATATTTTACTGTGAAAATGATATACCAGGCGAACACTTTATTTTCTGGCAGAATGCTACTTTGTAACGCCCAAAATTTGGATTCGAATGTAAGGAGACTGGTACTTTATATTTCGATCTGTCTTCGTTAACTAAAATTGAAAAATAAAGCACTTTTGCTATGGCGAAAACTGGACTCCCATCGGAACTTGTGCCACTGAGAAAAGGGGCTCCACTTTCCCTCCACGCTTCTGCCTATGTGTCGCGCTGATACTATGATAAGAACTACGATCTATTTGAATTTATGATCGCTATTTCTGATCATCTGTCGTCAGCCCGTATTTTGTCAAGCCTGAACGACCTGAGCATTGGGTCGGATTCTGCACTTCTTACACAGCGTTGCAACAGCGATCAGTTAGCCCAAACCTAATTATTTGCGATCCGTCTAGACTGCCTCGGGTCTTGAACACTGGAGTCCTAAATTACTATTCGGGTCCGACTTCCAGTTTCTCGGTGTACGCGGTTAGAAATGAAGGCAAATTAACCGGAAACGGATGAACTAATCATTACGATTTTTCGGTAAACATTTCTCGATCATTGTCTGCACCTTGACATGCCACCCGTAATGTTGGGTCCAACCGGGGTCCTCAAGGCAACCAAAGCGATTTTACTCTGCCAGGCAATCGCTGATCACCATGTTTAGATAAATTGTAGCAAACAAACCATGAGCTCATGGACTACGGAGGTTTAAACCTACTGGACTCTCTTTTACTACCTCACCTTTCTGGACTTGTGTCCGGTTCATGGATGACGGAAAGATAACTAGAAATGGTCACCCTCTGGTATATTTATAAAGTTTCCTTCTGATCTTCAAGTATGCCGACCCCATTTGCCCAGACATTCATTTTTGAGACTGATTACATTGGGCATTTTATTTCTAAAGTCTAGGAATTACTCAACGTTCGTTTTTTGGATTATCTGAATGTGCCCTTACACACCCTAATTCAGCTCTCTATCGGATCGAAAATTACGGGCATCTTCGTAGCACTGACATTATCAGTAATATTCCTCATTCTCCTCCTGCGGTGGCGCTTTCGGGAATCTTATACTCGTCGACATATAATCACTTGTCCCTTCGACTGCAAACGCCTCATGCGATGGCCCCGTAAGGCAAACGTCTTTCACAGTTTCACCAACGGGGACATGCTTGCTAACGAGGGCGTTGCAACCATTTCCTTCAGCCGACCCACTACTGCTTCCTTCATTGCCGCAGACTCCACACTTACTGATGCCTCTGTAAAGGCACCCTCGAGAGCACGTTCGAGTGCAGGAATGATGAGCAATGTTCTGCAACAGATTTCAACTCGAAACAAAAACAAAGATGAGGATAAGCTGACCCTTCTCGTGGAAGAACACTCAACTGGAATGTCGACCCCTCCAGAAGAAGATTCGGGGATTAATTGATTGTGAGTTGGGAGGAACTGTTGCACTATATCAATCAATCTACTTTCTAGGGGCATTTAAATTTAATTGACCCTTTTCATTCATTGAATGCAGAAAGCCAACTGAAACTGCTCTAAAGCAGAAGGTTATGCATGTGTGTAGGCGCACATTGGTTTTATTTCGCAGAAAATTGGTTTAACAGTACAGAATAATTTTATTTACCAGAACCATGTGAAAATTCTTTTCACTTTCAGCTCTCATGTGACCTGTCGAGCCGATGAGACGGACAAGGACAAAACATAATGATTTTGTCGGCAGGATACACATTACTAAATTGCAACTTCGCCCAGCATCTGTTCCAGTGTATTTTAACTCCGGTAATTCTTTTTCACTACTACCATTTTTACATCAAACACTTTCACCTCGCTTCCAAACGATCTTCCGTCGGAATGATGCGCTAATTTTATGGACTGTATACAGAGGTATCTAGCTACAAGTGAGATGCGTGTATATTAACCTTTTACGCTGCGTTTCCCTGTTCAGTTGTGCACGCTGCTTGATGAGTTTTTATAAGCTCCCTTTTTCGCTCTAATGACGGCCGCGGCGATTTAATAAAGGCTAGACTATTACGCGTCTTACGATTTCAGAGTGCAGTTGAACAGGTCAAAGGTGTGTGATCTCAAACCCGACGTTATTTTCTTTACAATATTGCTCTTACTACTTGCCCAATGATGTAATAAACGTTGTTCCATTCATTACGAACACCTAACCGCGTATCTGACTTGTTGGTCAGATGCTTTTTGTCGAGCGTATATTGCGTTTAATGGAGGTGGTGCTACTGTCGTTAGTACTACTTTTATTGGCATTACCAAGAAATTTACTGCTGCAATATGAATACTAGTACAAGCTATCACGTGTAAGATCAAACGTCTGACAGTTGTCGCACTGGGAAAACGGCGTTCAACTTCCCAGCCCTACACCAGCAAAACACTCATACACGTCTTCTGGAAATAGTATTTATAGCCACATTAAACGTTATGACGTAAAACAAATTTGCTCTGTATGGAATTTTACACTTGCTAAGGTCGCAGATCCAACTGATCCGAGTTGCCAGGTCACGATTCCCTTGGCTTAAAAACGAGAGCGCAGCCTACATGAGTGCTTAAGTGTCAGGAGTTCACAAGCATACTATCCACCGCATGGCTTTGAAGAACCAGCGTCCTCTTTTTCAACTAGCCACGGCTTTAATCCTCGTGTCTATGGCACGCGGGATGGAACTATGCACGGGTTATCAATCGAAGTTGAGAGAATTCAACCCAAATCCTTACGTGGAGGTGTTTCGGAATCTTATTATTGGTGACGAACCCTTATTCTTCATCCTGCTTGTTTGCTACGAAGAGGAAACGTCGGCTAGGCTTCACGTCCTAGTATGTCTACCTTTAAAGTTGCGAAAATTCCCATGAAGCATTTCAGGAGAGCATTGTGCGATCGTACGCGTGCTTTCGACGAACTCTCCTCGGATCAGTACATCTATATTGAAACGACGTACTGAGTAAAACGTGTGTAATAGGAGAAATAGATTAGGGCTCGTCTTTTCACTCAAACCAGGCGTGTGAATAAGGGGAGAGAGAGGAGGCAGTAAGTGTCAGTGAGGGTTAAGTAGACCCATTTCACAAGGGGGGGGGGAACGGGGGCGCGGAGACATGCATTCAGTTAATCGATCTTTTTCCACGGTAGACGCGGAGCGTGCAAGAGTTTCATCTGCGCGCACAAGACGGGCCTCCGTAGTCGGCATTCGCTTCTGCATTTGCTAGTAAGCGTTGACCCAGTCGCTTGGGGTAATTAGGTGGGATCTTGTAGATCACACGAAATGCTTCGTTGGGATCCACAAGGTGCCCAGAATCAATCGTGTGTGCGAGGATTGAGCTATGTAGTTTCACTTTTCCTCAGTCATGCGGGCAGGTGTTCTCGTATTCTTGTGGATAGGCGCCGACTCGTACGATCAAAATAGCCTGCCTCACAGGAGCAAGCAAGTAAGGGAGTAAACGCCCATGGAGGTGGTCTGAGCTGGTGGTCTATCCTTACCTTCCCTCGTAAGAAGGGGTTGGTGGAGAACAATACTTGAACCCTTGCCGCCGAGAAAGTCCGTAAAACAGCTTAGTCAAGGCGTCTTTTTAGTTCACTCGCCGCGTCCCCTGTAAAAGGAACTTTGAGGAGCAATAAATGTCAGGATACCCGTTCTCACGAAGCAGGTTCTGAATTCTTCTAAGCTCTTTATCAACGCTATCTGCAGGACAGACTTTTCTAGCCCTTTGGGCCAAACTACGGACTAGACTACGTTTCTGTTGAAGCGGTACGAAACTGCAGAAGTTCGTATATTTACCAGACCAGGAGTCCTTTGTGAAATAAGCATCTTGGAAGCACGATTTAACTTCGTTTATTTGCTTTCGTATAGACTAATCACACTACCCGAAGAGAATCCTGGGTATTCATGCTAGAGTGAAATTCGGTGGAATATAACTTAACAGGAGGTTTTTATAAAAGACGCCAGTACTAAACCTGAGTCTATCGTGTGGTTTTTTAGACCATTTTGAGCACTTTTAGCGAAGGTAATATGCCGCGCGTTAGGCCATATTATTTCAATTGGTTATTTTAAGCGCAGGGCGTTTGCATTCATCAAGTATGACTTTTCCTAAGCAACTCTCGCATGGGCTCTAAGACTAGCAAGTACACAATCAATTATGGGTTTTCTAGAGTCATGTTATTTATCTCTTCCACTTACATCTTAGGAAACAGCACCTTTCACCTGTATTCCCTATCCTCATAGCTCCACGCGATTATACTTTCTTTTGGCCATCAGTTTAAGAGTTCGAATTGTTACTATGACACGCACGGAGTTGAAGGACGGATGCCGTGTATGGTCGCCTTACTAGTATCTCCTGCATATGTGCCCTAATAAGTCACTTGTTCCCCAAAGTCTGTATTTGTTGCTTAATTGTCATTTGGTCTTCTAATTACTTCACGAAAAAACCTTTATATCCTATGCTCGTGGATCCATCTGAACGATAAAGCATGTTTCTACGGTCAATTCCTGCCCTCTTTTCTAGGCCTTAGAATGGTTGGCGCATTTCCTTCACATCCACGTACGTTTTCAGACGTATCTTCATCCGGCAGTCACTTTTTACTCCTAACTGGCGAAACAGCGATCTAGTCTCCAGAATCCTCTGATTTTTGTAGGCTGAACTTTGCTTAGAAGTTACTGCTTAGTCCCTCAAATTCTGGAATCTGAGCGGATGCTTGTTGAGCAAATGTTCCCCACTCTTCAAAGCTGGGCGAACTAGACTTTGAAAAGGCAGGACAGAAGCGGATATACGTAGTCCTAGATCGCCCGAATCCCTCATCTCAGTCATTTAAGATCTTTACGAACTTTTGAGAATAAGCCTGCCAATCGAACTTTTGATGTTTTTGACTTTTCAGGTTGTCCTACAGGGTCGTGGTTTTGGGGAACAAAGTCATCCCCTAAGATGATAGCAGGCTACGATGAAAGTTTATTTGGATGAATAATAAAGAGAACTGGTGGAGATACGATGTTGATAAAATCGTAATAATAACGGTATACATTTTAGAGGTGTGCTGGGTGATTGAAAAAACGGGCTCAATATGAGTGGTAACAAGCCAGAACTCCGAACAATTGTTTGGTCTTCCATCCTCAAGAGTGTAAATGAGGATGTCATTAGCCGCACACGAGTGGAGACGATGAAATAAACCACGAATTTTTGATGATCAGGTTCACTGTCCGTCAGAGAAGATCATACGGACTTGGCTAGAATTTCCTCCACAATAAACCGAAAGGTCTATTAGAGGTTCGGTCTACGACTGCACCTCAGACATATTGGACCAAAACAAATTGACTTCATCGCTCACTTGATAGGCACATGATGCCCATAGCGAGCATCACAGGTTTATTACTTTTTGCACCGTAGAACTGATCATACCAACAGACCAATGTATTCGAGGGATCATTGATAAGGACCCCAAGAGGAACTCGCCCGCCTTACGTGTTCAGACGAGTTGCTGTACCTTGCAGCCAAAAATGTAATGAAAAAAGTTGGGAGAACTTGCGGTTTTCAGGCAAATTGACAGAATGTAAGGTAGTGAGGGAAAGCTCTGCGGTATGAGTGGTAAATCCAGTGACATGGGAGCTTTGGAAGGACTGATGAGGATTACGCATGGTTTTGGGCGATGGGAGAAACCGTATAGATTTAAGTGTGTGGGACGTACAAAAAAACAGCATAGTGACAGCAGTAACAAGGCTGATTAAAATAAGCGCCGTCGAATGTTTCAGACTGAGATATTTTTAACCAATGAGTGAGGATTTATAACGGACGTTGACGGAATAAAAATACAATCAGCATATATTTCACGGATTTGATATTTGTAATGAAGACATCGTCATCCAATACCGCTAGTGAATGAGATGCTGCATTATCAGTAAAAATAAATAAGTTGGTTTATTGAGTACCCTTGGGGGTACTTTTATAGCAAGTAAAAATAATTTCTCACTTTGATTCTAGAACAAGTAAACAGGCTCTGTAGTATTCAGTTCGGGCTTATAGAACAAGCAGTCAGATATAAAAATACGGTCAGCGGGCAGTGAAAAAACTGCTTCATTAAAAAAAGACAGAACAAATGTGATTTGGTAACACTCAAAGGAGAACAAACTGCCGCTCATAGGAGGGAAAATCTGCGGGTCAGACAGGACTGGCTTGCATTTGTTAATTTATAAGGGATTCGGAAGGTTGCCAGCGTCAGTGTCGAAACGAAAGCAAACCGGACGTGATCGGTCACAGTCTGCTTAAGTTCCAGCCGAGAAGTAGGCATTAGAGGCTTAGGTGGTCATCAGAGCGTACGGTGAGATGCAACCATCATGCCTCCTTGCAGAGAGACCAACCTATGAGTATATAGCCAAGACAGAGGATCCCCTCGTGAGCGTCGACAGATAGTATTGGGTCGAAATTAGGAGATTTCATAAAGAACCGCGAAAATCATCACTGCGGGGGAGGAGGGATAACAGTAGACTTAGTAGCTAGTTAAAAACAGGGGTTGTAAAAATGAAAGCGAACGTTTCCACGTGATCTATCATTCCGTTCGGGAATGAAACGGCCAATGCTGACTTTAAAATTTCAGGAGTCAGGTGTTTTCGTGATTTAAATTTGAATACCGATAATTTAGGCGATAACCTGATTTCTGGGGGAAGATTACTATAAAAGAAGGCATAGTTGGATGCAAAAAGGAGGGAACGTTTAGATGCAGAGCAAGGAGGCGGTGAAATCATCATGGATGAGTTACGCGTGGCATTAGACCGATCTCTAGGATTAAGAGTGTAAATGCATGGAAGATAATGCTAGAGGCATTACGAAAAAGGAGGCAAAGGCCAGCTTCGGGTCTTCTAATCCATAAAAACTTAAAGTTCGTTAGCTGACACCTTCGACTATAAGAAAAGCTGGATGCAGTTTGAGAGAAGAGTTTTCAGCAAAAATACCCCAAACATTTTCTATTTTATTACACTCACAGACGTTCATTAAATCAAAGAAAGGACAACAGTACTCGAGGACTGGGAAACAAACATTTCATCGATTCTTAACTTCATTTGCGGAAGCAAAAAAATATGTGATATGAACCCATATATTTCTGCAACCTTGACAGGGAGTCAATCTGCACGAGGTGATAAAGCAAGAGTATTTGTGTAACTTAAACATAGGTCATTTATGGAGACGTATTCTGAGAGTGGGCTATTCTGAAAACTTATGGGACCAGGAATTTTGGCAGCACCCAAAAACATGAAACTAGACTTTGATGATGAGAACTCCATCTGCTTAAGCGTACTAAATCGGCATTAAATTTTTTCAACACAAACATTTGCCATGTCCTTAGAATATGAGTAAGCAAACTTGAGGTCATCGGCGTGGATGAAGGTTTGCGAATATCATTTATGTAAAGGCGGAAGAGCAGCGGACACAGAACCGTGTCTTGATGTGCGCCACTTGTGATCGAGTGAGGTGTCGAGTAGCTATTACTAACCAAAACTTTCTGATAGTGGTTGGATAGGTAGGACCGGATGAGTCGAGCAGAGGAGTCGGATGCCGAGAGGTGCCAATTTTCCCAAAAGACATCTATCTGGCACCTTGTTGAGGGTTTTGCTTAGAGCGAAGTAGATAACTACCACAGACTGCCGCTCATTACGAAGAGAAGTGATAGAATTAAGAAAGGTTAAGGAACAAGTTTCGCAGACCCTGTCAGGTAAAAATCTTATCTGATTAGAGATAAGAAGGTGACAGAAATTAAGAATTTCATTAAAAATTATCCTTTCGAGAAGTTTTTCCAGAGACGGTGTTTGTGTACGCCCCGATAGTTACTAAATTCGGACCGAGATTCAGAATTGAAGACAGGAATGATAATTGGTGTTTTTCATGTTTCAGGAAAGAATCCTTTTGAAATATTAACCGAGAATAAATGACTGAGCAATATGGGAAATTTCGATGCCTGCTTAATAATCGAATTTCGAGTCCCGTCCGTTCCTGAGCAGTGTGTTTTACAAACAACGTATGTGTTTCTTTATGAGATCTGAGGAGACATCGATTGTACTCAGTGTCCTATCTGAAAGTGAACGAAAGATCGGGACTGGTTCGGACTCAGTATTAAGGGGTTTTGCAAAGAAAGCACTAAACAACTTCGCCTTGTCAGTGTCATCGATGAGGAATACTTTGCTATCGTTTAGCAAGGGTGGAATTCCGTGACCACACTCAACGGACGACCAATAGCGGAAGATTCTAGCGATGAATTCGGCAGGGTTTTGACTACTGAGGCAAACTATTCTCTTTGTTTGTTTTTTTCGCGCTTGGCGCAATTTTTAGATCATTTCAAAATCTCTGTGATTCTATGATGAGTGGATAAACAATTACTGGATAGGTCACCCAGCTGCCGTCTCAACGTTTTTAGTCTTTTGTGAAGAAAATGAGGAACAAGGGCATCTGAACAACTAGACTTGATTATCTAGAATATCTTTGGAAACATTGGGCATGGCATCACGAAGAATGGTCGCATCGCTACAGGAGAGGAAGCCATACCAATCCAATAATACATTATAGTTATTTATTTGGTCGTTATCTACGCAATGACAGTATAGATAAGTCCGAACCGTGCTTGTATTTTTTGAAAAGGCGAGAGGTAAGCAATAATGAATTAATACGTCGTCACTATCAAAGAGGCCCTTTTGGTAAAAATAAGATCTGAAATGTGATTATCTCTTGATGGAGAGCACACCAGAAGGGACCAGGTAGAAGAATTAGCAATATCTTGGAAGGGCTGGAATCTAGGTGGACAGGTATTGGAAACCCAATCTAGTTCAGTAAAGTTAAAATCCCCACTTATTATTTTAACATCGAAAGCAACTTCTGAAATTAATTTAAAGATTTCACAGAGCTGGGAATCATCACCGGCTGAAGAATTTGGGGGATTGTAGATACAGCCAATAATTGCCTTTCTTTGCGGCGAGAGAATAACAAATGCAAGGCAGAAGTTTCCCGTGAATGAGGAACCATCCAAGTAATAGGGAGAGTGCTTTAGGTAGGATTTAAGATAAAGAAGACAACCGCCCCCCACGCCTAGTCGTGCGGTCTTGACGGTAAAAATCGAAGTCGTCTATGAGAAGGACAGAGTCAGGAATTAGAGAATGTGTCCAAGATTCTGTTACACATACAAGATTGTCAAGATTGGGTGTCATTTCGACAACAGTGGGTGTGATTTGGGCCATCTTTTTATAACACACCTGGCATTCAATAATATAACAGCTAATGTGTTCCGAACAACAAGGCTATTGTCGATGGTATTTAAAAGAAAGAAATTTGAAGGCGGATATTTTAGCTGTGAATTAATTATGCTTGGAGAATAAGAACCAGCTAGCCTAGAGTCATTGACGTTTGAGGGCTCAACAAGGGAAGGCTGGGCGGCAGACCTAAAGGATTTGTGGATATAGTTTTCAAGCATTGGAATGCTAGGGGAGTTAGAACACGGAAAGGATTGTTGGTAGTCAAATTGTGGAGGAGAGGGAGGAATGGGAGGGAGCCTAGAAGGAAAGAAGAGGCTGTTGGGGGAGGGAAGGCAGCTATGGGAGCAAAACGGGTGGGAAACCACGTCTAGGTTCGAATTCAAATCACTTAGGTTGACTTACCTGAGAGCAATTGACCTTAAGTAGCGGGAAGCCTGAACTAGGTTGGGACATAATGACTTAGGGCAATTGACGTGTGAATTATTTGCTGGATATATAGTAGGGCTTTGGTATGTAACCGGTAGGCAGGATAGAGAATTATTTGGGGATATAATTGGAGCTGAGTGGTTTGTAGACGTGCTGGGTTTTAAAGACTTGGTAGATCTAAGAGAAGACGGCGTACCCCTAAATGGAACTGTACTACCATTCTTTTGGGTCGGAGTCTGATTCAGTTTTGTAGTATTACCGTTCTGACGCCAGGTCACATGGGATTTAACTGTAGAGCTTGCAGGACCCCGTTGAAATGGGGAAGTTATCGGTCTAGGTGATGTAGACGGATTTTCATGCGTCCTAGGGGGGCTATCTGGAGGATTAGGGACGATAACTGGGGCTGCTGCTGCTGCTGCTGATGATGATGATGATGATGATGATGATGATGATGATGATGATGATGATGATGATGATGATGATGATGATGATGATGATGATGATGATGATGATGATGATGATGATGATGATGATGATGATGATGATGATGATGATGATGATGAAAACGAATTAACTAAGCCGGGTGGATTTTTGCGATGGGAGGACAAGCTTTTTGCATCGGCTATTTTGTAGTTGAAACAACACGAATACAGGAAGTTATTCGTAAAAATCATGTCACCATCACATTTAATACTAGATAGAATGGTATATTTGCGCTTTGAGGACGTTTTTAGGATAACATGTAGAATTCATAAAATTTTGCAATTGATGCAGGTCATGTTGTATACTTCATATGGGCCATTCGTAGATGCATAGGAACGATGTGCCATGAATGGATATTGCACGGTCTAAGATAAATCTCCTCGTTATAAAATTTTGAAACCGAAGGACTCCTTTTCTTCGAGCATAAACTGCGAAGGTAGCGTGATTTGCTAACAATGGGTAGAAGAGGGCATACTTTTTGTGCATGTTTTCCCTGCAATATATTTAAATTTATAATTCCATTGAAGATCGATATGAAAATGCATGCTACGTTTCTACTCATTTTTTACCTAATGCGTTTTTTAGAGGAGGTCGAATGTAAGTGCATTCAAATGCCAATATCCTGGCGAGTTCAAAATATTGTGGGATTATGCCCCAGGATAATCGATATTACAACCGCACCTAAGTAATCCTTCCTACTCGAAAACGCATTTCAGAATTTCGACTAACATTTCACGAGATGGATAACTTATTGTTTAACATGGCTACATGATGGAATAACCGAAAAGTATACTGACGATATGAAATTTCTTTGTCCGAATGTGAAGACTCGATGCTCAGACATTTTAAGCGGCGACTGTCGAGGAAGTCACGCTGCGTCGAATGTTGTCTACTGGAGATCATTCGGAGACGAACAGGTGAAGGGCACACCAATGGGTTCGCCGATTTCGGGCTTCATCGCCGAGGCGGTCCTGCAACGGTTAGAGTCGCTGGTCTGCCAACATCACAAACCGACGTTCTGGGCCCGGTATGTGGATGATACCTTCGTCGTTATCGATCGGGATCAATTGCTGACATTCAAGGAACGTCTGAATGCGGTCTTCCCGGACATACAATTTACGATGGAGGAGGAAGAGAACAACCAGCTGGCCTTCCTGGATGTCCTCGTATGCCGCAAGGTTTGTGGTGGACTAAAGACCAAAGTGTTCAGGAAAGCGACAAATACGATGCAAGTACTGAACTTCAACAGCAACCACCCAATCAGTCACAAACGCAGTTGTGTAAGGACGCTCTATCGGCGTGTCGAAACACACTGCAGTGAGCCCGAAGACAAGATTGCTGAACTACAATACCTCCGACGGGTATTCAAAGCCAATGGCTACCCGAGCAACTTTGTCAACCGGTGCATACGCAAAATGGACGAAAGGCCTAACCGCAGGGACACCAAAGTTTGGCGAGCGCTTCCATATGTCAAGAACGTTTCGGAAGCTGTTGGCCGCCTTCTCGCACCGCTGGGGATTGGAGTTGCACACAGGCCAGAGGCAACCATCAGGCGTCAACTGATGAAACCAGAAGAACCACTGCCACGGCAAGAAACGTCTGGAGTCGTTTATCGGATCTGGTGCAGTTGCGGACAAAGCAACTACGTCGGAGAAACCGGAAGACAGCTCCGAACGCGAATGGCCGAACACGCTGCAGCAGTGCGGAGAAATGACGCCAGCTCTCAAGTTGCGGCTCATTCGACGGGTTCCGGCCACACATTCAAATTTGACGAGGCCGAAATTCTCGCAAGAGGTGACAACCGCGTGAGCCGGGAGCTGCTTGAGTCATGGTTCACTGGCCCCCAGTCTATTAACAAGTGCAATGATCTTCCCATTCAATACAGCGTGCTGAGACTTCGTCTAGGCGGAGAAATTGGCCACGCGGGGAGCGCCCTGATGAACACTACTGGCCCCCAGTCTATTAACAAGTGCAATGATCTTCCCATTCAATACAGCGTGCTGAGACTTCGTCTAGGCGGAGAAATTGGCCACGCGGGGAGCGCCCTGATGAACACTCTTCCCAACACCCGGGTCAGCGCGTCAGATGGTCGAGCAATCATCACACCATCCAACGCACGTGATGAAATTGCAGCAATTAACGACGCGAATATCGACCATCACGCCACGTGCAACGATCCCTGATGAAGGGGAGGGAGCCGTGAACATTCATAGGTATGTGGTGGCATGGCTACTGCATCCTATAAATACTGCAGCCACATGTGCATGAACCACCCTTATCTGCTTATGTCTCTGATGATGGATTCGAGCAGGAATCCGAAACGTCAGGCTAATAAAGCTCTTGTCCCGGCGATCGTGTCTTCTTCTTCAAGCCTTACACTTTCACATCTTGCCGAAATGGCAGACCGAATGATAGAGGTTCAACGGTTCCAGCCACCTTCCAATGCTCAGATTTCCACATCCTCTTCAACGGTTAACGAGCAGTTACTGCAACAAATGTCGGCTATGGCGGATGGGATAGCCTCCCTAAAACTACAGCTTGCTCGCATTACCTGTAGTCGCTCACCCAGCCGTCATCGTTCACGTTTGCGACCTCGCACAGCCAATTTGTGTTGGTATCACGCAAACTTTGTCGCCAAGGCTCGCAAATGTTCTTCCCCTTGTTCATTTAAACCTAAACAGGGAAACCAGCAAGCCAGAGAATAGACGCGACCGTTTTCTCTGGCTCTCCCAGCTCTGGCCGCACCTTTTATGTCTGCGACAATGTGACTTGCAGGCGTTTCCTGGTGGACACCGGAGCCCAGATCAGCGTGGTTCCCCCCACTCCAGTTGACCGCCGCTGTCCCAGCCCTGGTCTACATCTCCAAGCTGCAAACTGTTCCCCCATTTCCACTTTTGGTAGTCGTTCCCTAACGCTAAACATTGGTTTACGTCGATCATTCTCCTGGATATTTGTGATTGCCGATGTGCCTCATGCGATCCTTGGTTCCGACTTCCTAGCCGAGTTTGATCTCCTTGTGGATTGTCGGCGTTCCGGTCTCCTCGACCGCACAACTGGTCTTTCTGTCCACGGTCTTACACCCTTTAATGACTCCTGCAATTTATCTGTTCTGGACACAGGTATTGCTTGCCCATACCGAGACCTGCTCCTCCAACACCCCAACATAATCAAACCCCAGTTTCGCAGTGGTGAGATCCAGCATGACGTTGTCCACCACATTCGCACCTCTGGCCCCCCAGTATTCGCACGGCCCAGACGACCGGCTCCGTCCCGTCTGCAAGCGGCGAAGGCCGAATTTGAGCACATCCTGCAACTGGGCATAATTCGGCCTTCCCGAGAGTCCATGGGCGTCCCCTCTGCATATGGTGCCCAAGGCGACATCAGACGACTGGCGGCCCTGTGGTGACTATCGCGCCCTCAACAATGCGACCATCCCGGATCGTTATCCCGTCCCTCATCTTCAAGATTTTGCTGGAGCTCTTTTCGGCAAATCGGTTTTCTCGAAGACTGACCTTGTTCGGGCCTTCCATCAGATTCCTGTCGCTCCTGAGGATGTTCCCAAACTGCCGTCACCACACCATTCGGCCTGTTCGAATTTATTCGCATGCCATTTGGTCTTCGCAATGCTGCCCAAACATTTCAGAGGTTCATTGACCGAGTCCTACGTGGTCTCCCGTTTGTGTACGCCTACATCGATGACCTCTTGGTGGCCAGTCGAAATGCCGAGGAACACAAAGAGCATCTTTCCTTAGTGTTTGACCGCCTCGATCAGTTTGGCGTGGTCATTAACCCTTCGAAGTGTGTTCTGGGTGTGCCGTCCCTTGATTTTCTTGGCCACCATGTCGATGCACAAGGTTTGCGTCTCCTCTCTTCCAAGGTTGAGGCCATTCGTGACTTTCCTCCACCAATCTCCAAGCGTCAGTTGCGACGTTTCCTTGGCATGGTAAACTTTTATCGCCCGTTCCTACCGAACTGTGCCGACCTTATGCTGCCACTCACCAACTTGCTCTCTGGTCCCAAGGGTCCCCTTGAGTTACGTGGCCACGCGCTGACTGCTTTTGAGAGAATAAAGGCCTCCCTTGCTGATGCTACCTTGCTCACTCATCCTGCTCCAGAAGCCCCATTGTCCCTGATGGTTGATGCTTCGACCGTTGCCGTAGGAGCAGTCCTCCAAAGCGTATCAACGACTCGACACGACCGTTGGCATTCTTCTCCAAGAAGCTTTCACCTGCCGAGACGAGATATAGCACGTTTGGCCGTGAACTTCTTGACATTTACCTAGCCGTAAAGCATTTCCCACACTTCTTTGAGGGTCGTGACTTCACAATTTTCACAGACCACAAACCACTTACATTTGCCATCCGATCCCATTCTGACAAATATAACCCGAGAGAGATTTCTCATTTGGATTACATCTCGCAATTCACCACCAACATCCGCCACATTGATGGCCCGAAGAATGCGGTGGCTGACATGCTGTCCAGACCTTCCCTGTCGGCGTTTCACCCCTCACACTGGATTGATCTTGGTGCTATGGCGGCTGAACAACGACGTTTTGGATGTCCTGGCGACGAGTCTGTTGACAGTCTTCAATTAGTTGACGTCCCATTGACCACCGGCACTGGCACAATTCTTTGTGACGTATCGACTCCTTTTCATCGCCCTTATGTGCCTGCCTCGATGCGTCGAGCTGTTTTTCAAACTCTCCACGGACTCCCCCATCCTGGGATTCGAGCCTCACAGAAGCTCCTCGCGGAAAGGTTCGTATGGCCTGGGTTGAACAAGGATGTGAGAGCTTGGACACGATCGTGCCTTTGCTGTCAACTTAACAAGGTTCAACGCCACAACAAGTCTCCATCGGGCATGTTCCCCAGCCCCGATGCACGGTTCAACCATGTGCATTTAGATGTCGTAAGTCCTTTACCTCCATCCAATAGCTATACTCACCTTCTCACCTGCGTTGATCGCTATGCCCGTTGGCCGTAAGCCATTCCTTTACCGAATGTGCAGGCTGAGACCATTGTGAAAGCTTTCGTCAGTCGTTGGGTCGCCATATTCGGTGCGCCATCCATGATTACGACTGATCGAGGCGCGCAGTTTGAGTCCACACTTTTCCAAACTCTCCTCAACGTCCTTGGCTGCACATGCATTCGGACGACGGCCTACCACCCAGCTGCTCACGGCATGGTTGAGCGTTTCCACCGCCAGCTAAAAACTGCACTGCGTGCCGCAGCAGATCCCGAAAATTGGTCAGACAATGTACCCGTTGCACTTCTTGGCATTCGTGCGGCACTGAAGTCAGGCTTGGACTGCAGCGCAGCCGAATTGGTTTTCGGCACTACCCTCCGACTCCCTGGTGAGATGGTCACCCCAAACTCTCGTGGTGCCGAAGAGACCCCCGAAAATTTTGTGCACCGTCTGCGACAATTAATGCGCTCGCTTTCCCCGGTTCCACCTCGAGCTCCATTGGCCGAGCCTTATGTTGAAAAAGGCTGAGCCAACTGCACCCATGTGTTCGCTCGGTGTGATCGTGTGCGGAAGCCGTTAGAATCACCATACGAAGAACCGTTCCATGTGCTTGCACGTAACAGCAAGACCTTTCGGATCCTGTGAGGTGACAGAGAGGACGTAGTCAGCATCGACCGGGTCAAGGCTGCTATTGCAGAGGAGCCCCCGGACGTGTCTCAAAAACAAGCATGTGCTGATCCCATACCTCCGCCCACTCCTTTTCCACTTTCCCCACCTATCCCTCCGTCCCGTATACTTCCTCTTCCTTCTTGTTCGCAGCATCAAACTGCAACCTCTTCCTCCACCCTTAACTTGTCCACTACAACACCTACTCAGCTGCCTCCAACAGTGCCTCCCGCATATATCACCCGCGGTGGACGTCAAGTTCACTTTCCCGATCGTCTAGTTGCTCATTTCTCCTAGACCTTTGTATGTCCTCCGGCGTCGTTCACGCTGCCCTCCGGTCTCGGAGGGGGGTACTTTGCTGAAGTACTTGACTACTTCACCTTTGACAATCTTGTCACGTTTGTTTCACTGTAGCATTTGTTTTAACGTGACGAAGACTCCGCCACTTGTAAGCTTCGCGCCGCATGCGTGCTCTCTGGTCAGGTCGTTGCACATTTTGAATATTAACTTTATTCACTTACTGGCCTTCCTTTCCTTTCTCCGTTTATGAGGTTAGTAAGCCGTAGTTCGTTAGTTCGCGGGAACGACATAACTTACGTCATCCTAGTCTAAGAAAGAGTATTCACAGTGAAGTGGGCTACTGGTGTGGATCTACCTCATAAAACAAACCGACAGTAGTAACAAAGAAACTTCCCCTTATCTACTTGGCCAAAGTGATCATGCAATGTTTTAAGGTCGTGCGTTATTTCAGAGCACTGTACTTAACTAATATACTGGGACTGTATGCATCACAGTAACAGTTTTCTCTAAGGAAACCAAAGGCGTTTTTTGCACGTTGGAGTTTAACTTCCATAAAACAATCGCAGTGGACTTTGATCTGCTTTAATAAAGCTCGTTGCATCTCGCAAAGAGTCGCTGCGCCATATCAAGACCGGCGGTAACCAGATGATGCTGTGACCAGCACCGGACCTGACAGGCTGTGTAACCTTCTTCTTACCGACATGAAAACAGCACACCTTACAGTCATTCGTACGAATGGCAGTCCCGTATTTTAAGCAAATACAGATCTGTCAGCGCACTACAAAGTCGCGGCCAGGACTGCAATTAGGTAACTAATAATTTGTTAGAGATTTACAAAATCTGTCATCAGACGCCCGGCACAACATTCGCAGATGTAGATAGCACACGGTGGACTGCTTTGTTTGTCTCAAGGCCGCACCGCAACAGTGCTACGATCAGCCAATTTTTCGCATATGCCAATGAGTATGTGCAAGAAGAAGACTGTGAACTAGACATGTTTTCGAATGATATCAATATTTGGGAACTCCTCCAAAGCACATCTTTATCAACCTGAGCAAAGCTAAGCACGACGGAATTATTCTGCGCTCCAACTAGGACAATTTCGACTTGGTTACCATTCCACAGTTACAGTCTCTGACATTGATACTGGAACCGTACGTACAAAATTACTTTGTGCAATTTTGGAAAATTTTTTCACGCATCGAAATTCGCCAGGAACCTGGATTAAGTGCAATTTGTTTATCAGCACGGTCCAACTGACAACGTAACTGGCTACGCAACCGAATCGCGGATATAGCCTAGAAAACCAATCGTTCAAAATCCTTCAGGGTCTGCAGTTATTCAAGTCCTACGAGATCTGGAAAGGGCTAAGTCGCTTCTGATTAAATTCAACAAAATTTATCGGATTTTAAGTATTTTTTCGCTTATTGAGTTTTGAATACTCACTTTAATTCATCAAATATAAGCCGACGTATTCGTTATAACATCGAAAGCGAAATTATACATATTATATCACGTCGAAGTTTATGGATTCTCAGCAAGCTAACTGTAGTAGTACGGTCAGCGACGGCACCTCTTTGGAAGATAAGTCCGGTGAGTTGTCCTTCGCATCCAGAACCTGTGCTCGCTCTACCTTCGCCTCCAGCCAACGACCAGCAAAGCGTGCAAAAAGCGTAAATACCGCAAAAAGTGTGAGGTACGAAGACGAGCCTTGTGGTGGGTGCGCAGATATTCAAATCAAAGTAGGACAACTGGAAAAGGAGCTTGCTGATTTAAGGACGCTCGTGAAACAGACCGTAGTCGGCCAGAACGTGTCCAGTGTTAGAATCCCAAAAACGAAGAGCAAAACACAAAAAACGCGAAAAAATATCTCCTCGGGGGAATCTTCAAACACGAGTACCAACTCAGCAGCCAAAACCGCAGACTCCGGTAACAGCAGGACAATGACAACGAAGCCGCCGATAAAGGGAGACTCGATTCCCACGCACGATGTCTTAAGCGATGTCGCAAAAAATTACCTGTCGCGGAAGCCATCTCACCTAAGCCTCTTGCTGTAAGTGATGGGATTGCTCTTCTGCCTGAAGACGATAAACCTGGATCATCCAGTCTACTGTTGCTCTCTTGTTCTGGCAACCACCCGAGCGCATTACAGAGCACGCATCTGAATGCGAAGACATAAACGCGTGGGTAGAGGGGAGAGGGAAACGCCATGACAGGATCCTGAAGTCACAGCCAGCCCTGATGGGTTGCTCGGGACAGTTGGTAGACAGTAAAAGTGTGCGTTCAAGCGATAACTCCGTAAATCGTCCTCGCTCACATGCAGCGCATTCACCGGAAAGACAGAGTAAGGAGGACCATGCTCGCCAACAGTGTCTGGTTATTCAGGGTTTGTCAGAATCAAATGCAGTCAGACCTGAAGACCGTGTCTCAGAGGACCTTGCTTCTTTTCATGGTCTGCTAAATTATTTACTG